GTTGATGGGTAAATTGCAATAATAGTCGTATTAACTGGTCTTCCTTGTAGACATATGGATATTATCCTATCACTGACAGTGTTGTACTTCAGGATGGATCTTGAAATGTTCTTTTTGATGATGAATGTGACGCCATTCCTCTTCAATTTATTGTTCCCAGCATAGTATACCATATGATTGCCTGATTCAAGATGGCCAATACCAGTCCATTTCAGCTCACTAATTGCAGTCCATTTCATTTTTGATGACTTCCAATTTTCCTAGATTCATACTTTGTACATTCCATGTACATTTACTAATTCAACATTTTTTATATGTACAATTCAGTGACATTGATTTTGTTCATCATGGTGTGCAACCACCTGTTTCCAAATTATTTCATCATCATTATAGAAACTCAATACCCCCAAACAATGGTTCCCCCTTCCCCCCTCCCTCCCACCCCTGGAAACCACTAATAAACTTTGGTCTTTATATATTTGCCAATTCTAGATATTTCATATAAGTGGTATCATATAAAATTTGTCCTTTTGTGACTTACTTATTTTATTCAGCATAATATTTTCAGTGTTCATTCATGTTGTAGCATGTATCAAGCCTACATTTCTCTTTATGGATTTAAAAAAATATACTGATGTCACTACTTTTCCTGTTCATAAGATGGTTACTTTGTTGCACTTCTTTTCCTTAACAACTTTCCCTCAGACATTCCTTCGGTTATGACTGCAGAAAGAGGGCCAACCTACAGCTTCTGGACAGCAGTACCCTGATGTACATAGCTGGGAACCAACTGATTCTTCTGGATTTGAAAACCAAGAAACAGACCTACCTGCGAAGTAGCAGTGGTGGAGGAATTGGTGTTGTTGGGGTATAACAGCCTTTGTAATTTAGGGAAAAAAATCTATCTATTGATGGATTATTCTGTTATTCTGTTGATCAGCGAGCAGTGGCTGCCACCATATGCAGTATCATGGGATGCACATGAGGTGCATAACAGTCTTTATTCTAAGGCATTTTACAGTCAATGATGACAACCAGTGCATTCACTAACATCACCTCCATGCAATATTTTAATATTATGCTAATAATATTATTATCCTATTTTGCAGATAAAAGGAAACTGGAGCCCATAGAGGTCATGCAGGTTTTTTCACACTAAATACTACATTGCTATTCTGCAAAAATAGTGAGATGAAAAACACACAAATAATAATTCAAATAATAATTAGATATAACACAACAGGATGTAAATATATAATAAAAATTTAGGAGGTAAGATATAGATTCTATATTCAATAATTGAGAGCAGTTAGCAGAAGGACTTGCGTGTA